GTGCTTTCAACAGCATTATGTTTCATTTACGTATTCTACTTATGAGATTAAACTAATAATTTAAAGATTAGCCAATACAAGTTTGCAAAGGTATCAGATAATAACTAGAAGTAGAGCTTTCCAAGAGAATTCTTGAATCCTTTGCCGTTGTTTATGTCAACAATTTAAAAGTAGTATAGAGAACCAGGTGTCACTGTTAATGATTCCACGTGTTCCAGAGAGTTTATGGAGGGTTTCTTTTTTGTCTTGATATTTTTGAGGTTCATTTTGTGACAGAATAGGTTTCTCTGATCATAAAAGGAAAAGTGACAATGTTCATTTTGTCAAACTGGGCTATTTGAAGTTTCACAATCTACATTATTCTTTACTCTAAACAGGTACATGGGATCCATGACCCTTGATTACTTAACTACTACACAACCTATGTGGTGCTAACCTTGCTTACTGTAAGACTAAGACGGTAAGAGGGATTGGAGTCAACAGGTGCATTTACATGGTAATGACCCTCGTGTCGCTCGCTGTACAATCTGCTCGGACCTACGTGTTTGTCTGCTTCGGCACAGTTTGCTTTGAGACCCGTGGGAGTGTTTACCAGCGTAGGCTGAGGAATTTCAGGTCAAGAGAGCATCGAGCACAGAGAACACCCATGGCCAAACTGATCTGGTAACTGACATCAAAGTGTACCTGAGCCATCCATCTCCATCAGTGAAAAGCAAATATTTATCCTGTAGTGACGTACTTATAGTAGAGAAATACACAAAAAAAACAGACTTTTGGCATATATGCAAGTGTCTGCATACATAATGTTTATAATATTGCCCACCTAATGCATGCATATGTTTGTGTGCGTGCAGCAATATGAAATCCTGATTGTTATGCTTATAGTGACTTAAGGAGCATGATTTTTTTAAGTTAGGCAGTCTGTTGGAGAACTGGACATATTAGGAAAAAAATAAGCAGTTCTGCAGAGAGGTTTGGTGATGCATCATTTGTGCCATCTGTTCGTCTTCCTGTTGGATGGCATCCTGTGCCAGGGCCAATGTCCAGTCCACTCTCAGAGCTTCTCCAAGCTGGTCCCACCTGGCACAACTGTCCTCAAAATTCACACTGTCACAGACGGCCTGAGAAGTGTGGAGGCTGTCATGACTCAGTTCAGACACGACCAACTGTGTAGGATCAGCAGCGCTGAGAATCAAGCTCAGCGTCAAACAATTAAGAGTAGATAGCTCTAATCATAGAGACGTGCTTCAACCAGTTCACTTTAGGGGAGCCACGTTACCTGAAAGATCAGCAACATTGAGGAATAATCTTTAACAGGTTCTGAGACACTGATCCAAAGGTAAATTACAACTAATATTTTAAGGTGTTGAGCAGTCAACGCTTCCTAGAAACAAAGAACTCGGGTTTTGCTTTTGTTGTTGAGATCTATCTACGTCAGAGGCCATGAAAAAGCTTAGTCCACGACTTAGTCAACCAGTGTTTCAACCCACAAGCCGCAGAATATGTTCTTATTCTGAGTGTTTTAATATTATCATGAAACCTCAAAGGATAAAAATCAAAAGTTTATTTGGCAGCGCTGTAGTCATCAGACTGACCGGTTGATCGATATGCTCTCATCCAATATAGCCTCTCATTGTTTCGACAATTGCTGGTGTCATTCTCCAAGGATACAAGTGCTACATCAATAGCCATTCAGGATTAATCTATTCTTTTTGGTAGGGGGAGGAACAGGAACAGACTACCTGAGAGAAACAGAATGGTCTGAACACACCTAACTCTAACTTAATCGAGATGGCCACGTCTACTTTACAAATGTTAACAAATGTAACTCAGCACCAAATTATGGCCACGTTTTGTTCAAATGAATGGCCACAAGTTGTGTGGAGACTTTGCAAATAGCTTGCATCTCACAGCTCAATGACTAATGAGGCATATTACCCAAAGCAGTATCTTAAAAGCTCTGCCTCAAGATTTTATGCAAACTTTCGTGCTTAACACTTAAGTGTTAACATATGAGAACATCAGTGTTTGGTCTCTCGTGTAGTCAGAAAAGAAAAAATGCAATTTGGCACCACTGACACGAGGCCGATTAGAGCTATTCCCTAATAGCTTTTGTGCTGATATAGCTCTATTGTCAAAACTCATAATTATAGACAGGTGCGCTGGTTGACTCAAGCTTTTTATGGTTATTTATTATTCGTTAAAACCAATGGGCAGATTTGTTTTCCCTTGTGATGAATCAGTTGTTTAAAGACTAGGCACAGTTTCAGCAGCAAAGTTGTTCTCTGATTAACTACAGTCCAATATTTAGCTTGAGCGCTTTTGTTTGTATGTCTACAGTCCTTCTGGAATGACATCTGCCACACAATTTACATATTTTCATACTTCCAACAGGTCATTTCACCCATTGGCAGATAATACATAGCAGGACTGAAGATCACAAAGCCTGGTCTCAGAAAAAAGACATTTTGCACATTTTAAAAGGAAACAGTGACAATAAATACCGATTAAGTGGATTAAAAGATGATTCTATGTAAAAATAAAATTAAAAAATAAACAAAACCCCCCCCCCAAAACGCATGACTCTCAAACGCTATATTTAAACATCATCATCTTTGGCACAGATACTTTCTCTCTATCCCACCTCATGAGTGTGGTTGCTTTGGAGAGACAATGTGTGATGGCCCCCCTGTGTGGAAGTGAGAGGAGAGCTTTATGAATAACTCCCCTCGCAGCCATGAATGGCACTTTGCTTTCCCACAGTATTACTCAGTTTACACCCCCACCATGGCAGGATAAGCCGTGAGCCCAAGCGGTGGCTGAGCCGCCAGTCACACGCAAAAATGTCACACGCTAAATGGAAGCAATAAAAGTGAGAACCTTGATTTTTTTTGGTTTAGTTTTATTAATGAAGTCACAAGGACGTATTAAGACTGTGTCACTGCAACTCTGCTGCAGTCAGTCACTTGTCATATCCAGTCTCTGCTACGCAACTTCTTAAAGACATTACAATACAGTGCTTTGCTCTAAGAAAAAGGGTGTGTTTTATGGTCACTGGAGTACTAGTACTAATGATGACGCACACATAACCAAGTAACCAGTTTGCTCATCCAGTTTTTAAAAAAAAAATGCGTTTATTGATAATTTGCAACCTGAGACTTAACATGACTAACACCATGTGGGTGTTTCTGCTTCGAGGTTTCAGCTTACCACACACTGCCTACAGATTCTTGACTTGATTATTTCTTTTAATTTCCATAAAAATGCAGCATTTGGATTTTTGTTTTACAAACAAACTACAGAGTATTAAGGATGACTAGCATCCCTTGCTCATTGGGAAAACGTGCTTAAAAGCATGGTAAATACGGAGGAAATCAACAAGCAACCTCTTTCACAAACACACCGACACATTGCACTCAAAAGTTTCATTTGTTGTCTCACCGATAAATAAAACACACATTTTATGTTAAAAGCACCTTGCCTACAAATCACAACAAAGCCAGAGAGCAGCACAAAGCTGGAACCTTTTAGAGTATGAAGGCATACAAAGAAGAAGTGAAGGGGAAAAATGGCTTCTGGGACAATATCACCACCCTAGCAACACATCTGTCCAGTGCCTGCTTTGTTTACTGGGGGATATTTCACTACACTGGAGGGGTTTTTCCACTCTCATTTAATTTGTCTTCACAGGACTACACTTGACAGCCTAACATGAGTTTGTGTCCTTTCTGCAAACACTAAAGTCAGATGAATGGATGAATACGCGGAAGGCAGTTTATTGTGGTAGTTTTTGGCAAAAGTATGCAGGTCGCGTGTGAATGATTAATTAGGGAAAAATATCTGTCTACAAGTCCGATTCAGTGCAAACCAAAGGAAAAAAAAGAAATTATCTTTAGCCTTTGTGACTGATCTGAATGTGTCATCTCTCAGCACATGACTCAAACATGGGATCCTGCTGACACGGGAACACAAAAAAACAAAAGCTTTAAATTTCATCGGCAGCCCAGACAGCCTACAACACTACAACAGAGGCCACTGTGTGGCTACAGGCTCAATATGATTTCCTGCTGTGAGAGTAGACTGTCATTAATTTATTGTCAGACACCAATGAAACTATGTGTCTCCAAAGAGAGGTTTACGCCCTTCACTAGTGTTCAGTGGGAGGGCCTGTCACACCACATCAGAAATTTTAAGTCCCCTCTTGCGTAATGTTTGGGACAGTTCCTAGGACACATGAATGCTGGTATCTCCTTACAACACAGATGTATAAATAAAGCTTCATTCAGTGCTCACACACTCTGTTATGGAAAACTGTGATTTAGCCTTAAAAAAAAAAGAAAACTGAAAGAGTAGATCTTTCTAAATGATTTTAAGTCACAACTCAAAACATTTTCTGAGGGAAGCATTAATTTGGGGACAAGAAACATTCAGTTTAGTTAGGATATTCATATAAATCATCAAGTCAGATTACTGCCTAAAGTTATGGTGACATAAACGGTCGTTAAGTGGATGGATAACAATGGAAGAGGACATGTGAGCATGAATGGGACTAACACATAGCAGCTACGCAACTCTTTGTGCATGCTTTTTGTCAATCCCGGGGAAAAGTATGCATAGGGAGCAAATCATGTATTAGCACAAGTCTCTGCAGATGATGATAACCCTCGAAATGATGATGGATGATAAAAATAAACAACCCTGACCAAATGCATTATACAGTCACAATAAACCGACTATTGAACACCACAGACAAGCCAGAAATCCCTGGAGGGGTATTACAGTGATACCACAGGAGATAAAAACATAGCATAAAGCACAATGAAGCCCCTGTGAACCCACTGTTAAGTACCCACAGACACACCAAAACTCCCCACTGAATAACATTTTTATTTTTCCTTTTATACAAGAAGTACCACAAGCAAGTGCTTTATCAGACACACCCGCACGCACGCACACGCACACACACACACACAGTTAAGAATAAGAAAACAAGTAGTTACCTTCCATCCTGCAGAGCTGTTGCTGTCTCCTTTGTCCTTGAAATAAGGCACACTCTTCACCATCCAGTCATAAATCTGAGAGAGAGTTAGTCGGTTCTCGGGAGAACTTTCGATAGCTTTGGTTATGAGGTCTGCATATGACATATTCCCCCATGCGTTTCGCCGGGAGGAGCTGCTCTTCCTCTGGGCAGCGGCAGCAGCGGCGGCCGCGGCCGCTGAGGACGACGAGCCGACCGGGGTGGAGAGCAGAGGCACCTGCTGCTGCTGCTGATGCGGGAGTTGCGGGTTCGGGTGCTGCTGCTGCGGATGCTGCTGATGTTGCTGCTGCTGCTGCTGTGGAGCTTGCTGGTGGACGCAGTTCTCCTGACACTGGAAATCAGTGCACAGGATGATGGGTTTCTGCTCTGTGAAGTCCTCGGTCTCCTCCAGCAAGCTCAGGTTGTTGATGAACTCGGTGTTGTTGGCGGGTTCCTGCTTGACAGATGGGACTGGTGAAGAGGTGTTGGAGTCGCCCGGGTTGATAAACTCCGGCCGGGGCAATGGCCAAGTGCACGACCGGGGCCGCGACAGCGGTTCAAAATCCGGGTCGATTTCCACCAGGTGTGGCTGCTGAGGCGCTTCCGCCATGGTCGAAAGGTGAGTGAGAAAAGTGTTACAATGTCATGTAATTGTGACGAACCTGTCGCTCCTCAAAAGCAGCAACTTCGCCTCGGAGACGTGAGCGAACGCAAGATAAAACTGACCGGGAAAAGAGAGCTCCGCTTGGGCGCAGGAAACAACACTGAAAGTTACATCCCAAGTCGATAAAAAATTAAAAATAAATGTAAAAAAAAATCAGCTGATTAAAAGAATGATTCTAAAACGTCTTTCAAGTAAAGTCGAGTACGTGGTCACAGTGTGTTGACCCGCTGGTTTGTTTTTGTCCAGTCCTACAGACGTTCCGTCTGCTCCTCGTACAGCCTGTTGACTCTGTTGTACATACAGCTTGTGAGGACTTACTGGAAGTATCATTTGTCAGCTGACACCTCCCACATTTGACTGACAGCCGAAAAGCACCAATAAACTGCATCGAAAGACTAAATGAAAAAAGTAAACCTGTGGAGAGCAAATGTGGAAGATTTCTCTGTTTACTTTTTAAAAATTTTTTTTAACATAATTTCTACAGAAGAATTATATCCATTGCTTTTCCCTAAATATCCTGTATTTAGGTCAAAACTTAGCAACTCTAAATCATTCATTATTTACGATTAAATAAGAGCAATAAATATTCTGTTAGTATTGAAAGCAGACTACAGACTCTGTAAGAGTAATTGTAGCGTGTGTAGTAACATACAGCCAGAGTCTACACTGGCGCACCATCAGAGCGTCTTTATAACCTGGGGTCATTTTTGGTTCACACTAAAACTGGACGATGCCAATTTTAAGCACTGAACTGGAAATATCGCGCTCTGCGGGCTGTGTGGCTGCCTGTTGCTCGGGAAACGTGATTAGAGAAATGAATGGATTCCGCCGAGCATCCGCAAGTTTTAGATCCAAAAGTCACACAGTGAGTCAGGAAGCAGACCTCAAAAATCCACGAGGACGGTCACATTAGTTGAACATTACTGAGAATCCGTGGGTAGATTTTACATGTGCTGTGTGTGCAAGCTGTGATAACAAGGAGCAGGGGAATTACTTACCTGATGCATATTCGTATTTTCGCACATATCGCAGCTACTTTTACTTTAAATTCAATATGTGCATATGTTTATTGTACTAGCATATAAATAGTATATAAATGGCTGCACTGATGGCTAAAACAGGGCTATTTTTAATGCTTGTCGGCTGCAGGCGGTACTTTTGTTTGCTCAAGCTCGTCCTAAACTTTACTATTAACCAAAAAAAGATTCCATAATTAATTTGATACTTATGCCTCCCTGGATGACCTGGTAATAAGCTAGATTTGTCACAGAATCTGCGCTGTGTACACATTTTATAGTTTTAATTATCATTTCATGAGCAAAAATGCTAATAAAAGTAAGGTCTTTATAAAATGTTCTCAAATGGTAAAAAGGAAAATACAAACTTGGGGGTTAAAAAAATGAAGTAAATGGACTCGTTCCTTTCATGATCTGTGGCTCTACCACTTTGAGACTGTTTGCTGGAGCAGAAGCTGTCTGGTGTCTTAAGCCAACTGTGGAGTAGGGGGACACCTTGTGGTCTTCATCGGGTATTACAGTCAGACGGGGCATTACTGGCATAAATTCGGAAGTACAAGATGAGTAAATTCGGGGGAGATAATTCCGTCAACATTGCGCAATTATTCGAGTACGTGAGTGGAATGAATACACGATGGATTTAAGTTATCACATAAAGTACTCCACTGTACTAGAATCTTGGGATATCTTCCTCTTAATATCACGACAAAACTTGTAATAGACACGCCGGTCCGCATATTCATACCGCTGTTAAATCTATCGAGACATCATTCACAGATGATGTTACGATGCAGAAAGCTATTTCATTCTAATCAGCGAAATGTCACAAGACTGAGTTTAAAAAAAATAGAGCCTGTTGCCAAATATGACTTTAACTCGGTGATCAGTAGTGTATCATATATCTAATCTATATCTCATATAATTAAACTATTATCCAATTAATTAATTTTAAGAATGAAACCGTGTGTTTAACTGAGTGTGTCTTTTTCTCTGTAGCGTGAACTCCTTGAGCGTTTTGCGCTCGGTAGGACGGGACAAATATCCGCCAATGAAATGAACTTATCGACAAAACGGTAATACTTTATGTTGTTGCATCAACTAACACTGAGCTCCCACGGACAACAGCACGGATGAATAATATTACGTCTGAGTTATGTCCTGTGTTTCTTGAATGTGCAGCTACCTCCTTTCTGCGAAGTCAGATCATGTGGGAACTTGTGTCGTAAGGTGGAGTGAAAGTACAGCGACGCGTTAAATGCTCCCACTGTTCTTTGCGAAGGATTAACCTACGCTAAAGAGATTACAGGTAAGCACCACGGGCTCCTTCTAGGTGCTTCATTTTACTGACTTCCTCTGTTAAAACAACTTATTTCTCATCTAAGGCTCGTTTTTAATCTCTTTTGCGAATAATGTCATGTTTTGTGATTGCGTGTGGAAAAAAGGATTAGGGAAAGGTGAAATGAATGAAAACCATGTGGATATTTTCAGGCTCGTGTCCTTAAAGTCACGATGGCTCCACATCCTGTAATTCAGGCGATCATCGACTTCTCAGCTGGAGCTGCAGGTGAGTTTAACGTAAAGACACGGCCGTATTTCACGCCACTCGCATCAGATTGAAGATAATCACTTGGACCAGCTTTGTGTTGCTTTAAAAGTGACCCAAACCCTGGCAGCAAAAGGATCACAGCATAACACCTACCTGATCCCATCAGTGTGGGGGTGAACGGTTTAGTCCAAGCTGTCATTCAATTATTAACGTAAAGAAGTGAGGAAGGTTAATTTTGCAAAATTCAAAAATTGGGATATGCTCAAAGATTGGAAGCAGGCCACATCTATTTCAGTATTGATCGTCTTTAACACCATTTGCTGTATATGTCCAGTTATTTATCTAAAGTTTAGTCAGAGGTCAGAGGGTTTATATGCTGTACTCATCATTGACATGAATGCCATGGATATTTTCAGCTTTTAATGATTTATTTGAGCTGGGTTTTTTTCTGGGGTGAAATAACTGCACAACATATGTATTTAATGATTTTTTTAATAAAGCAGTAATTATATGGATAGGCTTGGGTTTATTTGGGAGTTCCTCTTATCTGCACAGGTTCAAAAGTATACATAGAGAGTGATATGCTAAATCACCCACTAAAATCTGACTTGTTGAAGGTTGTACAATGTCTTTTAACCTGACAAGGACATGGCCTATTAACTTTTCATTAGTGATCATGACTGACTACAACTGGTTGTTTCTCTTTGCCAGCATAAAAAAGGATTTCGTTGACAGCACCCATTAGATTCAGTAATCTGTAACTGATTGGTGCAGATGTCATGTGTGCTTCAGCATCTAACTAGTGATCATAAAAGGAGTAACATTTTTTAAGTGGCAGATAACTTCAAATGCAACGTTTCAATCGGCCTAACAAATATCAGCAAACACACAAACTGTTTGTGAGCAGTCTGTCACACAGTGTGTCTGCAAGCTAAAGGTACAGCTGCTGTATTTCCCAGGGAGAATGAGAGATAACTTCACTCAGAGATGGAGAAAGATGTAAGAAAGAAAAGAAGGGAGAGGAAGAAGACAGGTTATATTTAAAGGTAAGGACTGCTCAGTGGCCTTTGATAAAGTGGAAATTTAAAGCTTAGATGTAATGTTCTTAATTTTAAATCAGATAATGGATCTGTATATGATTTGAAGTTATATATTTTAAAAAAAACACTGCTAAGTGTGTACTTTTTACTTTGTGTTATTCAAAGGTTGCATGAAAGTACAACACAGTTTCATGCAGGATAAACCAGTTTGCTTTGCCATACTGTGAATTTACAGTAAAGCACTGTGTTGGACTGGTGCACAGCGGCTGTGGTGTTTATGGTCAGTGTTA